CAGCAGGAGATCACCAACTCCATCCATGTCACTGGAAAATTTAAGGCAGTATTGCTTACAGAGGGAGGGAAGATGGGAAAGAAATCCTTTTGCATGAAGACTGTGGATATGTTTACATTAGTGTTTACAACCACTTCGCTGTTTCTAAGTGAGTCTCTGTCTTTCCCATCTGTAGCTTATCAGCTCATCACCGTGGTGATCGCTGCTGCAGGAGGGGGACTTCTGCTTATCATGGGCATAGCACTGATTGTCACCTGCTGCCGGTAGGTACTGCCACCAGCCCTGGCTAGTGTAGCATCCTCTCAGCGGGTTACACCATGCTTAGTGCTCCACATGTGAACCCTGAAGGGCCAAAACGTGGGTGAAAACATAGGATAGCTAAGCAGGTGGGTTAATCAGAGATACTGAAGTTGGGTGTCTCTTAAGGATGCACCTGGCAATCATGTCCTCTAAGGATGGAGAGGCAAAGGAGTCCTTCTCACTCAGAGCTGTAAGGCAGCCAGGGAACAGTCTCCAAACAGCAACCTAAGTAGAAAGAAGTTTAGGCAACAGGAGGGTTACTGGCCATTGCTCAAGTGGTGTTTGAGTGTATTTAAGGCTATTTTCGCTTTCCTTTATGGACAAGTCCTGCATGTGCTCTCGCTCTCTGTGCCTCTCCCTCTCAGACGCACACATGTGTGTGCACATGTAGTTCCTCTACCACTGGGTAGCTTTGGACTAGAGGCAAGATGTGCTTGCTGAGGAAGCCCTGCTTTGTGATTTTTATATTTCATGAAAAGGGCTACCTTGCAGTAACTCTCTCTCCTCCATTCCAGACCCCAAATCTAGGATTTCAAACCTCTCTTACTAAAGTCAACAGCTGGATTTATCTGTAATATAGATGTGTCAGTGGTTTGGTCAGCACAGTGGTGTGCACTTGTTTCCACATGTTTTGAGCCATGGAGATGCCAGCAAGTCCCAGCCGGGAGGTGTGATGGCCAGTATGCTTCCAGGCCTCTGCAGGGATGGACTGATCTTCTGAGTCCTGACCTTTACCAGGTTTTGTGACTTGCTGGGGAGTACTCTGCTTTGAACTGGAAGTGTCTCCAAAGTCCACTTAGGCAACATGGTAGTCATGTAGGGGCAGTTGGTGTCATTCAGACCAGTCCCTTGCAGGTTTCCTCTTGGGAATTAACACAATGCCTGGAAGTGCTATAGTTAAGCACTTAGAGACTTGAATAGCATGGGAGCTCCCATATGTTTTTCTTTCTTCCTAGGTTTCTGTGACTTTTTCATTGACTCAGGTGAACACAAAGATTTTTAAGAGACAACAGGCATAAGTTGGAACAGCAGAGGTTCAAACTGAATATAGGGAAAACTCTTTCACCAAGAAGTCAGTAAGGCAGTGGAGAGGTTATGACATCTCCATCCTTGGAGAATTCAAATCTCAGCAGATGTTGCCCTGAGTAGCATGATCTGACCTCATATCTGATTTTGCCTCGGAGCAGAAGGTTGGACTATAGCCCTTCTGAGGTGATCTTTATTCCCAGTCAAGGTTCATAACATGAAGTAAATCTCCTGAAATCGTGTCAGAAGTGCATATGAGATGGCAGGATAAGTTGTATATTTTCTCTTTCCTTCACTCTTTTATAAACAGGAAGAATAAAAATGACATAAGTAAACTCATTTTCAAGAGTGGGGATTTCCAGATGTCACCTTATGCTGAATATCCGAAGAACCCCCGGGCACAGGAGTGGGGCAGAGAGACCATCGAGATGCAGGAAAATGGAAGCACCAAGAACCTGCTGCAGATGACAGATGTGTATTATTCGGTATCTATCCGTAGCTTAATTATTAACCCTCTGTGCCTGATACAGGAAAGGCACATTCCTTTATTTCTGGAAGTACGAATCCCTTTCCTGCAAAATAAAAGAGTAAAGCAAATCACTTCCATAGACAGCAAGGCAGTGAGAGTCCTGTGGACTCTAGCTATTAGATGTGGTGAATATCACAAAGAGATGTCATAGGAAGAGTGCTGGGGAGAGGAAATGTCTAGGAACATTTTTGGTAGATAGCCCAAAAGCCCAATCCTAGAGTAGAGACGGACAATAAAAGGTTTTGGACAGACTGCTAGGGATCCCTGTGGTTAGTTTTCTCTCTTCCACCCTCACTGATGATGCTGGAAGGTTGAGACCTCAGCCTGGGGGACTTCACCCCAAGATGGGAAGATGCTGGTCACTGAGGACCCCTCTTTTCTTCCACTCCTCCCATCTCCACAGTACAGACCCCTTCCTGCAGCAGGAAGGGTGCATAAGGAGTATCCCTCAGCTCTGAGGGAACAGGCAGCAGGGAAGAAGTGATGGAGGAGTAATAGGCTGTTTAGAGCACAGAAAGACACAAGCACAAGACCTGGTGTCATGGTTGGTACCATCTGCTAATGTCTGTATCCAGAGCTGTGATGCTGGTGTATCACCTGCTACTAATGTACAGCAACATACTGGATGTACTTAAGGTGTGTGGGGGTTACTCGTGTGAGTGAAGGTTGCAGATTTAACCCAATCACACATTCTGGACTCCTGGTTTTCTGAGCAGAGAGCAGTGAGCAATACTTTTTCTCTGGCTTCTTCCTACTGGTTTTACAGTAAGGAAGTTTACTGGGTTGCACCATATGAAGGGAAATAATCCTCCTTCGGGTTTCCAGTAAGAATGAGAGATCTGGAAATGAAAATGTATTTCCTAAGTATTTTTAAGACTTTCATTACGCTGGCAACTAGAAAGGGGAGGTTTTTAGCAAGCAGTAGGTGATGAGGGCTTTGCACGGATCTGCTTTGTAACAGATCAAACAAGATGACTTGATGTTATTTACTGGGTGAAAGGATAGTACAGTCTTGATCTTAGACATCAAAGTTCCTCAACCAAGTGTCCCCAGGAGATTTACTTAAGGAACAGAACAGAAGACAAAGGAAGGTCAGATCACTTTGTATTTGACATATAATTCAAGTGCCTGTGTTGGGAGAGTAGGTACCTATGGTTAATGGGGAAAGAAGTACTCCCAGGTAATACCCAAAGCAGAAGACCAGCTTTGATTTTCTAGAAGCATTTCCTTTAAGGATGGCTCTGGGACAATATCCTGTCATGAGAGTTGTTTCAGTGCCTGAGCTCATCAGCACAATTCTCTTGGATTAAAAATTAACTGTGTGCTTAGACTGCACTTGGTGGAGTCAGGTAAACTTCAAGTCTTCTAACTGGCAAGCTGTCGAAACTAGATTGCATCAGAATGCATGTCTTCAGGCAATGCATAACTCCCACAGTAAAAGCCATTCTAGGTTACAGAGGTCATTAGCCATGACGTTGTTCCTTCTAGCTACTGAAATAACTGCTGGGAAAGGTGGTAAGGCTGTGCCTGAAGGAGGATTTGAGTGTGAGAATAAGACCCTTTTTATTTAATTTTTTTGCTAATACAGCCAACTGGACTGAGAAATCCTGAACTGGAAAGAAACGGACTTTATCCTCCCTACACTGGCTTGCCTGGATCTCGACATTCATGTATCTACCCCGGACAATACAATCCATCCTTCATTAGTGACGAAACCAGAAGAAGAGACTATTTTTAGTGGGGAGTGGAGAGGGAGTGGAAGATTGACTCAGTTTTGTGGCCCTTGATCCCCAGGTACAATCTATCTCCTGGGCAGTTCAGCCCACATCAATCTTACTCTTCCCATTTAACAGGAAGGACTTTGAACTCCATGCTGAGCGTTGCTGCCCTGAGGAACGGTTACACTTGCCGAGCAGCAGAGAGAAGGAGGAAGAGAAGGGAATGGCTCAAGGTGCGCATCACTAAGAGGCCCACTTGGAAGTTAACATGTACTCTGGATTTGTTCTGTGCTGCTGCTTCACTCTTTATGCTACATGGCAAGCATGGATCAGTACAGGCAGATGAACTGTGCCCAGCACTCTTCATTGAATACCACTAGGGAGTGTTTTGTTTACAGATCTTGTTCACTGTTGACTGTGCTTGTCTTCTTAGCCAACCTTCATGCAAAGATTCTTTTTGCAATTGCTTTTGGTAGGGCAGGTTTGTCCACTCCCTTTTACTTTCTGCTTTGTACATGACAAGGAAGCTGGCTTGTCCTCTGGCCCTCACTTTCTTACTGGTAGAAGTTCTCCAGATGACTGGGTCCTTGCTGAAGCCTGGTGCCTGACAATGTTGGCTGAATTCATGGACTGATTGTCTCCAAGGAATCATACCTTGGGGGAAAGTTAGTCATACCACTGCAATGTTAAGTGAAAAAAGACACAGTTGGTCCTATGCACCACTTTGAAAGCTTGCAGTATATAGGGAGGAGTCCAAGTATGTTGTTGTTTGTCAACCAACGTTGTTCAGAAGTGATGCTGCTACATGTCATCGTAGTGCTTCTGTATAAGAAGGATCTTATGGGGCTGTTTCCCTGCAGGGATTTAAATGCCTATAGACACAGCAATATAACGTTAAATAATTGCTCACAGGGAAGAAAAAGATGAGCTGGGAATTCAGCATGCTCCTTACAAGGAAGCTGGGAAGGAGCAATAATACTATAGCCCTTGCTGGATAGTGGAACCTGAACTCTGGGCACTGCTGATGGGACATAGTTTTCAAGCCTCCACAGCCCACCTTGACTTCTGTAGGAGCTGTGGAGGCTTTCAGTACATTGGAAAATAAGGCTCACTGGAGTCACTTGCATTTAAGGGAGAGAAAAACATTATGCTTTCAATCCTAGTGGAGCAAAGATGACTTATGTTGAAGTGTTTTGCCTTCTTCCATCCTAGCTTTGAGTGATTCAGTCCAGGCAGGTTTCCTCACCTAGGTGTGTTAAATCATATTAATCACATTGGAAAAGCTGAAAAACGTAAGTTATTACATTTCTCAGCAAAGATCAGATTGAAAGCACATGGACTGTATTCTGACGTGAGCTGGATGTTGAAAGAGATCTTATTAATGAAATATATTTACCGCTTATCTTTACTGCGGTGTTAACCTGAGTCATCCAAACCCTGTCCAGAGATAGGGTCCAGATCCAGAACCTTCCTCTGAATGTGACTGTGGTTTTAATTCAACGTGGCTGCTTGTATGAGGGTAACAGCACAATTCTTAGCAGCTAGCCCACCATCTCTGGGGGTGCACACAAAAGCTAGTTTCACTGAAGGGCACATACTCTGATATTCCCTTCTCCCTCGCCATGCTTGAAGAGATACAGTGCCTACAAGTAAGCTCATAAACTTAGCTCAGCTTGCCAAAGCACTAAGGACCATGGGATGAGTCCTCCAAAGTGCCTAACCCCAAGTAAGAACAGCAGTTCAGATGCTGATGCGTTGTGTGGTTGCTCACTGGAGGCAAACCTGGGGTGGTGAGGAGCCATCCATCAGGGAGCAGGTACTTGCATCCTACAGATGGTGTGAGTTCCCAGATCCTTTCCCAGCACTTCAGAGGCTGTTGTGTTCCCTATCAGAAGTGAGCAACAGCTACCCAGAGGAAGGGGAGCTAGCACTAGACAGTCATTAGCTGCATGGGCTAAGAAGTTTCTGGTCCCTGCTCATATTTTCTTCTAATTTCTCAAAGCTGCAAGGCAGGAAAGGCACCACAAATGTGCTTGAGAAGACAAAGTTTGGTGCACCAGCCATAGCACACAAATGCAGTGTCTTTTTATGCCTCACCCCTCATCTACTATGTAGAAATGGAGGTGTGGGCTTGCAGAAAAACAGATCTTTATGGATGCCTAGGGCAGTATGCTTTGCACTAACATTATCTTATGGTGATGATGCATGCATCTTCATGCCTATCTAATCCATAATCAACCTCACAGGTGGTAGTACACAGGTTATCTCAACTGTAGGGGGGGGAGTGAACAGATGCTCATGGGATGCACAGCTGCCTAAGGAGCTCTATTTAAGGAAAATTCTATTTACAGTATCCAAAACAGTGTAACAGGTAAAGCACAAGAACTAGCTATTCCCTGCCATGCTGATCAGCGTTTCCAGTCCATGAATGGTGGTGTTCTCACTTTTTTTAGCAGCTGATATCTTAATCCAATGGAAGGATCCATTGGATGATGTGAACTAAGGGCTTGACTCTGCTGTGCTGTAAGATCTGTCAAAGAGGACATTGGCAGGATCATTTCTGTGCAGGTGAGTGCCTCTGTTTTTGAGAGTGCCCAGGACAGAAAGTGCCTTTCCCATGGTATGGATAAGGGTTTTGCCTGTGTTATAAAATAAAGGGGGAAGCTGGGATTCATGCTAAATCTATATCTGGTCTCTGTCCCTATTTACTAAAGCTGCTTGGCAAAAAGGAGGAGTGTTCCAGCAATGGTGGTAGGATTTAACCACGTGCCAGCATTTGTCAGGTAGGGAAGAGTTTAGGCACATGCTTATGGGCAAATCTATTTAGTTGCTTGGTTAGTTCAAAGACTGGGAAATGTACCTGTGTGTGCCAAGTACAAAGGACAAAGTAGGAAATATCAGGTCACAATTGCAGATCAATCCTTCTATATAAAGAGTAACATGGACTATATGAACAAAACTCCTGGTCTGTATCTCACAGCAAATTGCAAGGGATTTGAGTGGAAAAGGGATGGGACTATTCCAAATGGAGATCAAACAACAGTTTGCAAGTAATTATTTTTCATTTCTTAATGATCTTCAAATTCTTCTTTATGCTGTGTCATCTGGAGTGAAAGGGTCTCAGTAAACCCAACAGGATTTTCTGAATGAGGACTGCAAAACTTGGCCTTTTCCAAAAGAGAGAACTTTATTGCACTGGAATTTTCTCTCTATCAGAGCAGGTAAACACTGGGAAATTTCTTATGAGAATGTATCCGTTGCACCTTCCTTTTATCTTTGTTAACAAAGGAGTCAGTGCATAGTCCCCAGGCGGAGGAGAAGTGTCTCTCCTGACCTGCAGCACCTTCTCTGAGTGTAATGGACGGCTTTGCTCAGCAGGCAGGAGAGGATTCGAGCAGGTGTCACACCAGGGTGAGTGCAGGTGTTTTCCTATGCAGAGATCCAGGAAGTTCTTGCAGAACTGGGGGATCCTGGCTCTCAACCAGCCCAGCCACTCCCCGTGCTGCAATGCTGCTGTCTTCACCCAAGTTCCCCTGGCTCCCAGCTCCACTGGGGCAGAAGGGGTGGGTGCAGTGCAGTGTGTTTTGCCACAAATGATGACAGTTATTTACTGCAATTATTTACTACCACATCCCAGCAACAATGGGTTTCCCCGGCTGTGGCAGGGATGTGACCTCTTTCTGTGCAACTTGGGTCTGTTAAAGCTTCCACCAGGATCCTCTCTGTCTGCTTCCATCACGGCCATAAACTAAGCACCCTCTGGCAGTGGAGTAGGGTTCGTCGCTCCTTAGATATGAGAGGGGTCTTCACATGGCCTCAAGCCTGCTTTCAAATGTGGATGCCTCTCTGTTCAGTACCTAACTCCCTTTAGGATGTTTAAATAAATGCAGCTTATTTCTCAGACTATTTAGAGTACTCCTAGCTACCCCAAATTGCAATTTTTGAGCATACTAGATGTTTTTGCCAAGGGGAATTGCTTTCTAATGGCCAGAAGGATAAGATAGAAATAGTATGTTTCTTGTAAGGAAGATGCAAGTGGTTCAGCCAGATATAGGGAAAGGAAGAAAAACTGCACCAACACTGCACAGAAATCTGCTGTTGCTCCTAACTGCTGTGCGAAGCAAGGGGAGCAGTCAGCAAGGGCCCACAGGCCGCTCTGTGGGTGTATTTTTGATTAACTTTGGAAAAAATTTTGTTGCTTGACAGGAAAAGATATGGGATACCCATGTTTGCTGCTATGATATTCTGCCAATTGTGCAGACAAAAGCCCCCCCAGCCACAGAAATACCCTCAGCAGGCAGCCTAGGAGAGGCAGCCCCAGTGAACAGAGCAGCAAAACACCGATTTGAGGAATCCTTCAAAAGGGAGGCTCGTATGCACAGCCTTCCTGTGTCCCTGCCATGCACTGCTGCTCGCCCTGGCCAGCCCTCCCAGCTGCACTGGAAAAATCAGAGGCCTTTGGCATACAGTTGAAACCTCCAAGAACTGAACTGGGATATGTGAGTTAAAAGCAGGACATGGGCATTTTGATGCCCTTTGCCCTCCACATTTCAAGCATTAGGTAATGCAGCAGCAACGAATGTCATTGCTGTTGCGGCATTTCTCCTAATTCTCACTGTCATGGTAACGTACTGAATCATCTCTTGTGACCAGCCTTCTAAAAGGTATTTGCCTTCATACTGAGTGGTAGTAAAAGGCTTTTAAAAATAGCAATAATTTGCAGTTAGAGAGAGGTGTTTGCCACTGTGAGTGTTTACGCCAATATTTGGAAAGGTTGTTTGCTGGGACCTGCATGAGGAGCAGGGAGAGTTTGGACATTGCTGCAGAGATGCCAAGTGCTTCCCCACACTTGTCTCTAATGCTTGTCAATGGCCATATCTGTTCCAAATCCAACTGGAATTCTCATTCCCTCATAATGATGTTTAATCTTTAGTTTTCTTCCTTAAATTAAAAAGAACAGATGCATTTTATTTAAATGCTCTTCCTATGCTGACTAATGTTTGTTCCTCTTTACACATAAAGAACCCAATCCAGCATCCATTATAGTGACTGGTGTAACTCTCCCATGGACTGTAATCAAGGTTTTTGTAGGCCTGAATTATTCCACCACCAGGGTCACCTGTGTGTCGTACGTGCTTTCCCCTGGCTCTTTGTTCTGATTGTTTCTGTGGTACTGTTTCTGCCTTTCCATGTTGTATTTATTTTTTAAAAGTATTGTTATTACTGTAGCAGGACCTGTATTATCTGGGATTGAACAAAACAGGTTCAAGATCTGAAACACATTCCTGAGAAGAGAATGAATGTGAATTTTGTGTAGTTGTTTTACTGATCAGCCAACCTGTTTCCTGTTGTGAAGATCATCTAGGGACATAGAGGTGCTTCCTGCAGTCACAGATGAGAACTACTCTTCAGTTCACTTTTACTTGTCCCTTCAGAAATGAAGCAAGATCTCCCAGTTTCAAAAGGGGTATAGTCTGTGTACTTGTAAGATTTTTGGAGCTTTGCAGTATATATTTAATTCTTTGTTCCCTTGAACTGCTGAAATTGAA